CAGAGTGTGGGAATCCAGGGCTTCCCTCTGGCTGCCCTGGCAGGTCTGGGACCCTGGCAGGAGGTCAGGAACCCCCCTGGACAGAGCCCCAAGAGACACTGTCTGTAATCTCTGTCCATGGAAAAGAGTTTTCAATCTTACAGCATGAATTACCAGCTCTGAGTGTTTGATATAAGTAATAATTAAGTGTGGCACAGGTGCAAAAGTAAAATTTTAGGACTCTAGATTAGGGGTCCAAAGGGGAGAAGATGGAGGAAATTGGGTGTGTCTTGTCCTTCTTCTCCTTCTTCATGCTCTCCATGTTTCACTGTAGTGTTGGCATTTTTCTGTTGGTTCAGGCTGGGGACACACTGTCCAATGTAGGTGACAGATATTGGCACGTTATTGTAAATCCAGCCCAGGGAGTTTCTGGTATTTAATGTTTGTAACATCCCACTGAGGGCAGAGTCCCACACGCTGCCCTGCAGGACAGAGCTGCGGCAGGGCAGCAGAACATGTTAGAGGTAAACAGAATAAACAACCTTGGAACCAGCACAGACCAATTATGGCTTCTGCTTTGGCAGGGGGCTGACAGACAGAGACTTTCTACAATCTCAGAATCATCAATACCTCAGATTCTGACAAGCCTTCTGGCCATGCGGCTCTGGGTAAGTCTGACTCCCTCATGTTTTATGGAGTCACTTAGCACTCACAGCACTGGGGGAGGCAGCACCAGCAAATCAAAGCATCTCCAGTTCTTTACACTCCACTTTGCAGGCTTGATGTCCCACACAGAGAAATTACCTCGCAGAGCCCTCAGCTGAGAGCTTCACAGCTGCACATTGCCAGTACCACCATCGACACCCAGGACTGGGGGGGTAGCAAAAGGGATATTTCCTCTCATTTGAACAGTGACACTCAGGCATAGAGTCTCACTTAATTGTCTGGGCTCTTCTGGTGTCAGAATCTGTGGTATTTTGATGATTCTCAGATTGCAGAAAGTCTCTGTCTGTCAGCCCCGCTGCCAAAGCAGAAGCCATAATTGGTCTGTGCTGGTTCCAAAGTTGTTTATTCTGTTTATCTCTAACATGTTCTGCTGCCCTGCCCAGCTCTGTCCTGCAGGGCACCGTGTGGGGCTCTGCCCTCAGTGGGATGTTACAAACATTAAATACCAGAAACTCCCTGGGCTGGATTTACAATAACGTGCCAATATCTGTCACCTACATTGGACAGTGTGTCCCCAGCCTGAACCAACAGGAAAATGCCAACACCACAGTGAAACATGGAGGGCATGAAGAAGGAGAAAAAGGACAAGGCACACCCAGTTTCCTCCATCTTCTCCCCTTTGAACCCCTAATCTAAAATCCTAAAATTTTACTTTTGCACCCGTGCCTCACTTAATTATTACTTATATCAAACACTCAGAGCTTGTAATTCATGCTGTAAGATTGAAAACTCTTCCATGGACAGAGATCACAGACAGTGTCTCTGGGGGCTCTGTCCAGGGGTGTTCCTGACCCCCTGCCAGGGTCCCAGACCTTCCAGGGCAGCCAGAGGGAAGCTCTGGATTCCCACATTCTGGGTGCTTTATTTTGTCAGTGCAAAACCAAAGCACTGATAACTGGTGATTCATGGCAGAGCTGACAGGCTCAGTGACTCACCTCCCAGTAACACTGGTTTCTCTCCAGGGTCTGTGGGTTTGCTGAAGACATCTAACTTTCAGGTGGGTAAGCTTAGGTGAGATGAATCTTATCCCAGGAAGGCAATTTCTGCTGCCATCTCTTGCCTTCCTCTGCAAACATCTCCAGTGAGAATGACTTTTGAAGAAATGTGCTCTTCAGGATGAAGCAGCAGCTCTGAAATGAATACTGTCAAATGTCAGTGGCTCTTTCTGTGGCCTGATGACCAGCTTGTAAGAAAGCAATTATTAGACCTGGACTGGGGTCATGTCAGGAGTAGAAAATCAGTCTCAGTGCTCAGCTTGCTTTTACCCACAGAAATTCACTTACAAAGAAATCTCAGGGGTTACTCTGAAATCCACAGAAAAGTTGTCCCTATACGAGCAGAAGGTTTGCCTATCAGAGCAAAACAGAGTGATCAGGTAGCCAAAATTACATGAAAGATAACCAGACCAAAACAACCCACCCTCAACACAATATAAACAGAACTATTGTTTTGGAAATACCCATCTTTTTGGCTACTTTAGTATAAAAAAGTATTTCTCTCTATGCCTTGGTGCATAGGTGAGGTACTTTTTCCAGACCACCACCAGTGAAGATGTCAGATGTGCTATACTATAAAAAAAAAAAAAAACCACAAAAAAACAACAACACACTAGATGTGAATATTTATTCCTGAATTTCTATTTATTCCTAACTTGAAACCAGCTGGCTGGGTGTCTGTTCAGTAAATCCCAATCTAAGCAATGTTACACAAAAGATTAGTCCACAGGTTTTAAAGAGAGCTGAGGAAGGTTGCTCATACTCATAAATGTTTAATGATTTGCTTATTAAGTATTTTCTCTTATTAAACTGATGAAAAGTTTCTTCAAATAACTTGTTCTGCCATTGGCAGAAAGTTGTCTTCAGAAGCTGAAATTAAATCCATAGAAACTTTACAATCATGGTGCAGATTTGTACTCACAGTACTGTCATGCCGCTGACATAATGTGGATTTTTCCCAATGTGCAGTACATTACAGACCTCTAGTGGTAGAAAAAAAAAAAAATCTAGCTTAGGATCCATCCTAACTGTAACAGTTCCTGATGGCACTCAATGCCAGTCTTAATAAATTACATAATGCCTTCTGTTTATAGATTTGGCCTTGTAGTTTGCTCACCTGAGGGAAATGGAAATTCAGCAGAGATCAAAGATGTCATTGACAATTCTCTGTTAATCTTAAAACAAAAAACAAACAAACAAAAAAAACCAACAAAACAAAACAATGAGAAAGTAAACCATGTTTTAAAAAAAAAGAGAAAAGCACATGGTTTGCTCTTACCTCCCTGCCAGATTCAGGTGAGAGTTGTCCAGGAGCATATTCCTTTCAGCCCTTGCAAAAGGAGCATAACCATCCTCTTCCCAGAGCTGATCTCACAGCATTTAATCTTTGATTTACTCAGCACAAATTTATTTATTTTGCACAAAGTACAAAGCAGTGATGAAGCAATTCCCACAGGGTTGTTTGGTGATTTGGTTTTCTGGGG